GAAGAGAGCCCCTCCTTCAGCTCTTTTGCTTTGTCTTCGCAGGCAGCCTTTATGTACCATATCAAGTCCACGCGGTCCTGAAGACAAACCCTAAACCCTAAACCCTAAACCCTAAACCCTAAACTCCAAACCCTAAACTCTAAACCCTAAACAGCAAGCTGGGGAGCACAGACAGCCAGATAAGACTGCCGCAGAAAAAGGATTGGGTGAATGTAAACAGGGCACAAGACATGTGTCCAAATTCCAAACCCCAAACCCTAAACCCTAAACCCTAAACGCTAATCCCTAAACCTTCACCTGCCAGTTGTCCAGGCCCCTGAAATTCATGCTGAGAGGATGCTGCGTAAATTGTCGGGGGTTTTTGAGGTACCGCATTAGTGTAATGTCTGCAGCAGACACCAGCCCCGCAAACCCTAAACCCTAAACCCTAAACCCTAAACCCCAAACCCTAAACGCCAAAGCCCAAAGCCCAAACCCTAAACCCTAGGCGTTAAACCCCAAAGCCCAACCCCTTGACCCTAAGCGCTAAACCCCAAAGCCCAAAGCCCAAAGCCCAAGCCCTAAACCCTAAACCCTAAACCCTAAACCCTAAACCCTAACCTGTCCAAACTATGCCGGAGTCCTTAATGGCTTGAGAAGAATCCATTAAAGAAGTTCGAGGCCCTGACCCCGCCGTGCGTCCGTAGACCCCGTAGAGGCTGGGCCCCAGCTGCGGCGCAAACCCTAAACCCTAAACCCTAAACCCTAAACCCTAAACCCTAAACCCTAAACCCTGCCGCAGACAAAAGGAACTAAAAACAAAAAGGGATTAAAGAGACGAAGGAAAAGAGCAAAAGGAGATAATCACGAAACATAAAAAAGACAAGAAAAAAAATGATAATAAAAAGAGATATTTGAAACAGATAAAAAGAGATTAGAAAAGATTGAAAAAGAAATAAAAAGAAACACTAAAAAGGACAAAAAAAACAAGAGTAAATGCAAAAGGACACAAAAGAAAAAAGCAAAATATGAAACAAAAGAGACAAACAATGCGAAAAAATGACAAAAAATGAAACAAAAAAGACAAAAAAGGGAAAAACTGAAATCAAAAAAGACAAAAAGGAAATAAAAAAAGAAAACAAAAGAGATCCAAAGGGTACAAAAAGAGACAAAAAAGAACCCAACAAAATTCGAAAAGTTTCCAAAAAGGCCGAAAAAAGACAAAAAAAAGAAGACAGAAAGCGCCAAAAAGAAATCGAAAAAGGAAAACAAAAGCGGAGATGCAAAGGACACAAAAGAAGACAAAAAGGGCTTCAAAAAACCTGCAAAAAGCTGCAAAAAGTCTCAAAAAATCCAAAAAAAAGGGAAAAATGAAAAAAATTAAAAAATTCACCAAAGTGCAGCCAGTCTTCACCGCCTCGTCCTTCTCTATCACGTGGCACTGCGCGCAGTGCTTCTTAAATAACAAACGGCCGCGAACAGGGTCGCCTGCAAAACCCTAAACCCTAAACCCTAAACCCTAAACCCTAAACCCTAGGGGCTGAAGGCTGAAGGGGTTGAGGCTGCAGTCTGCACAGTGAAGCCATGCTTCTTAAATAACAAACGGCCGCGAACAGGGTCGCCTGCAAAACCCTAAACCCTAAACCCTAAACCCTAAACCCTAAACCCTAGGGGCTGAAGGCTGAAGGGGTTGAGGCTGCAGTCTGCACAGTGAAGCCATGCTTCTT